AGGAGCGGAATTAACAACGGCATGTGATCACCGTTGTATCTCAGGTTAGATGAGGTTTTTGAGTCACAAATATATATTGTTCTTTTATAAGAATATGTTGATATCTTTTGTTATCTTTATTAGTCGCCGCTAAAATCCGATTCATAAATGTGAAGATGGGTGTTACAACAGGATGGGGCGGAGGTGGAAGGTTAATCAATATAATTGGTAAAACGAAATCTCTAAGAATCTTGGGAGCAAGTGAGGTGTTAACTGGACAACAAGCGTATGATATAGGTTATGCAGATTTAATTGCAGAAAAGGGTGAAACGATTAGCAAATCTAGAGATTTTCTCGATCCTTATATATATTTTTCTTCGCCAAAGAAAGGGGAATCAGATACAGAAAGAAAACGAAATTCGGTGAAAGCGGTAAGCTATTTTTTTTTTTTTTTTTTTTACATTATCATTTAAATTATAATTTTTTTTTTTAAAAAAAAAGGTTCGTGGAATGAAAGCGATAATCGCTAAAGCGAACGATAGTGGAACGCAAAGAAATTATATTCGTTTTGAACATGCTCTGTTTAATAGTCTTTGGGGACGAGAAGAAAACCTTAACGCAATATCCAAAGCACAATCGGAAAGAAATAATCAAAAAAAAAAAACATTTTGTAGTTATCGTTGTATTTAAATTAAACTTTATTGATCCACAGCAGATCATTGACAAAAATCGATGACAATAGTTGATCGAAAAAACAAACTAATAAAGATTATTTAATCAATCGGGTAAATTTAGTTGAACGTTAATTGGTTGACATTTCTAATCGAAATCATGAACCTTTGCGCACTTCGTTTTCGAATTATTTGTCGCTCAAGAATCTCGCAATGTCTAGTAGGTTCACAACAAATTAGAACATTTTCTAACACTTTAAAACGTAAAGGAGAAAACGTTGATATAAAAGAACTCTTTAATGATTGGAAAGCAAAAGTATCACAAGACGTTGACACTTCTGTTGATACTATCACTGCTACACCTCTTCAACTTTTTACAATTTCTCTGAGAAGAAAATATATAATAGATGATCTTCTTGCTACACAAGTTCCTCCGAAGGGAACGCAAATCCCACCAAATTACCATTTAGCATATTTTCCTCCTAAAGCTTACGAAAATGAGTTAGAAAGTGACGGAACAGAATCTAGATATGCACCGCCACCACCCTTCTCAAGGAGAATGTGGGCGGGTGGAGAATTATCATTTAGTGCGAATAACCCATTACGTGTTGGACAGCAAGTTTCAATGAGTACAAAATGTCGTGAAGTCAAAGTCAAGCCCAGTCCTAGGGGTGAGAACCTCTTTTTATGGTTAGATAGAGATATTAGTAATGAATTAGGATGGAGCATGAGAGAGGCCAGATGCATCGTGTATCTGAAAAATGAGGAAAAGAAACAGGAACAAAAAATAATTAAAAGTGAGATATATGTATTTTCGTATTGTCCTCAATTCGGATAAGGTTAAAATAACCGATATATTCGTTTTACCAGTAAATAAGGTTCCGGACTTTGAACAAACCATATTTCCAACTTCAACTTTACTATTTCGATTTTCGGCTTTGACGTTCAATAGTCACCGGATACATTATGATCACTCTTATGTAATTCAAACGGAAAAATTTCCTGGTAAATTTTACTTTACAATCTTGTTCATATAACGTTTATATCGTTAAATTGTTTTATCTAATTTAGGATGTTTGGTCCACGGCCCTCTTACGCTTACGTTACTCCTTGATTTAATGAGAGATAATCTTCCAAATAAAACATCGTTCATTAAATCTTTTACGCATCGAGCTGTTAGTCCTTTATTTGTAGATGAAGAATTTAAAGTGTGTGGAAAAAGAAACGAATCAGATGATCCGATTAGTAATTCTTATGAATTATGGGCAGAGAACAAACATGGCGGAGTTGCCATGAAGGCAACTGCAATTCTTGACAATATCTAATTAAGATCACACTTGTAGACAAATAATATCTTTTGCTTTGATTCAATAAAAGCTGTGAGCATGAGTTTTAATTTTAAATGTGAATAAAATTATCCACGAGCCTTTGATTTCTCTCTGAAAATTAACCTTGCATAAGGTTCGTCTGATTTCAAAGAAATGTTCGCTGCAATAATCATCAGTTATTTTAATTTTGGTGAAAAAAAAATATATATAACTGTTGTTACAAATTTAAATTAATTAATGTTCTTTATCATAAGATAAAAAAAATAATGGAATGCATCGCCTTTTCAGTCCAATAATAATAATAATAATAATGTTAGTCGCAATTTTTTGACTATGATTTGTAAATTTTATTTAATTTTATTTTATCATAAGAATTCAACTCACCTAATTTTTCCATTTTTATGTTCCAACACGATCTCTCTAAATATCGACGACGAAAATGCGGTTGTCCAAATGTTATATACATAAACTAAGAAATGATTCATCAATAAAATAGTATATATCCTTCTTAACTTACAAATTTGAGAAGTGATTCAATACCTTTCCATCGAACTTTAATACTCTTCGTAGAGGAAGGGTTCACTCGTTAATTTGGATCATTAATGAGAATGAAATTCACATGAAATTATCAAAAAAAAGAAAAAAAAAAAATGATTTTACCTAACTACTTCGTCGACTACTTTCTTCACGTTCTCAACTATTTCGGGTTTCGGATTCCAAACGTCGCCTTCATCACACATTAATGCATCCATCGTTCCTGTAATATTAATATATATACATATGTAAACAAAAATAAAATAATTATAATTTTAAAAAGGTGTTTCCACGTACCTTTATCGATTACCGCATCAAAGGTTTCGTCCTGAAAAGTGAGATCACGAACATCCATCACGATCCCTTCCATAAACAATAAAGATCTGACAATTAGTTTTTAACAATTCATTATATATTTTTCTTTTTCATTAAAGACTCACACGACATTTCAGTTCTATCTTTACATCTGAATCGCATGTTTTCAATCACCGTTTCCGAAAAATCAACATTTGTTATATGATGATATCCGACATCATACATATCTTCCGACAAAGCTATTTGTAAATCAAAAGATAATCAGGACGGTGCGCAAAAAAAAAAATTAATATAAAAAAAAATAAAAGATTCCCATCAAGCTTTTTTTTTTTTTTGTTTGTAAATAATCATACTAACTGGAATTCCCGCATCCCAACATTAATATCGACACATTTTTATCGGGCAGATATATATCGAATAATGGCTTTAATTCTTTATAAGTTTTATTAAACCAGTCAAAGGTCTCATGTGATTCTCTTTGATATAACGAAACAATCAATTAGATACAAATTTGATGACTTATTTAAAAAAGGGAAAATTTACAACTTTGAGTAACGTTCTTCCCAGTATTCTTTATTTTGATATTCAATAACGTTGTCCGGAACCGTTTTTACTATAATAAAAATTTGTCAATCAATCAGTAATTATAAATGATAATTAAATAAATTAATAACACCCACAGTTTTTCGACATTTAAGTTGACCGTTCTTTAATGACAATCGAATGATCTGCCGAAATATGCTAATTTTAAGATCGATCTAGCAAATAACAAAAAATACAACTACTTTTCTAAGCAAAATATGTCTAGAGCGTCAGTTACATTTCAAGAAGAATACCCAAATGAAATAACTACACCAGTTAAAGGTTACTTGGTTGAATATGAAGCTTTGATAGACCGTTTTTTTTCGGCAATTGTAGCATATTCAGAAGGAGGGAAACAAAAAGATCAAATATCACAAACACCAATAGAAATCATGAAGGAAATTATTGCATTGGACAAAAAGTTACAAAAAGGTCTTGACTTAAGTAAGTAATCTACAGGACTCAAGTTAATTCGATAAGATAATGAATTATTCAATTTATAAATTCAATAATAAAAAAAAGTCGAGGAACATCAAAGAGTTCATCGTAAACTTTTACAGATGGAAAATGAAATTGACGCAGAAAATCAAGCAATAATGGACTTGGCTTTGGCATTGAAAACAGGAAAAGAACAACTTGATGTATGTTTAGAGGAGGCGCGAGTAACGAGACGAGTCATTCAAACGGCACAAGAATGTATAAAAAATCGTCCTTTTTCTTTTTTTTAAAATCATATCCTTTGATATTTGATATTTGACCATCAAAATTTATTGATAAAATAGCTCAAGTTTCAGCAGAGGATATATTGGAATATGCTAGGAAATTAAGCCAATATACGTCAGCTCCACCCCACTTCAATCCTACGGTACCTTCCTCGATGATGTCTTTTCCACCTTACCCCGATGAAACACGCATGCGAATGGGATTATTATTTCGACAATACGCGGAAGAAAGTTATGAAGAAGGTAGGTGTGATTGGATGTGATTGGATTAAAGATATTATATCCAAATTAATCATACCGTTTTGTTCAAATAGAAGAGCAATCCGTTGAAGAAGATGAGGAAGAAGATGAGGAGGAATTCGATCATGTGTTGGTAGATGAAACACACGCAAGATCAAATTCTTTTGGTTCTGTAGATATTACGCAACAAACAAACCAAACAGAAGCTTTTAACTTGGATTTGAATCCTGATTTAGAATGAAAGATTTATTTATTATATAAAGCATTAATTAATGAATTTTTCGTTGATCCGTTGATCAAACTAAATAATAGAAATAATACCACAGTAAACAATAATATAAAGTCATGTTAATCCAATCTAAAAAAAAAAAAAAGATATTAAAAACTAGAAAATCTTAATTGTTATTACCTTTATTGATAGCATTGTAATTTAATTAAACCAACAATTTAATAAATCTAGATATATTAAATTCAAAATAATATATTTAAGAACATACTTTCTCTTGCTCAACTTCTTTGGCAAGTTTCACAGCTGATTCAAAAGATATTAACTATTCCAAGCTTCTTCAATGCTTAAAGAATCTTTATTGTCTATTAAAAGGTTAATAAATTTTTTTTTTAACGAATCTTTCATAACTACATTATAAATGTCGGTTGAGATGTTCAGTTGATCGAGGTTCATCATTCTAGAACAAGATAAAAATGAGTAAGTTTTGACTAGAAAAATTTCAAAACAACATAGGTCGCAGCTTCTCATTGGTAACCGTAACCCATCCTGTATACACTGCCCAGAGGTTGTCATCTAGTATTATAGACCAGTTATTAATGGACGATTATCATAGAAACTTTTAAGGTTTTCACAAATAGAGAGCAACGTAGACGTGGACGTGGACGTGGATATATTACTTGATTCCATTGTTAAACGTAGAAAGTTTCTATTTTTAAAAAGCCACGTGTAAATTATCAATTTATAAGGTTAAAAAAGTCCCGAGTTATAATTTATAATTTATTTGTATTACTAATTGTTAACCCGTTGCTTGCAACGGGGTTTTAGTTAAAAAATAATAAACATCGCGTCACGTTAAAACTTACAAATTTAAGAAAAGAAAATAAAAACTTTGTCACGATTTTTTTCACGCGACTTATATAATCTCGCTTCTATTTATAGTAATAAGTTTTTGTTTATTTTTTTTTATTTTATATTAGTCGTGCACGCGTCAAAATCAATCAGTGGCTTAGGTTATTTTGGTCACACCATATCACAACACGACACACGGTTATATAAAGACTTGCTTCTTTTCAATAACCGTTTTCAATTTTCAAAAATTTCAACCTTACTCTTCACAAAAAAAAAAAACACTTTTTACAATTTACCCAAAAAAAAAAAAAAGCACTTTAAATCTTTTACACTACCTTACACACAAAAAAAAAAAACACTTCTCTTTTTATTAATTCAATAAACTAAAATGTCTACCGTAGAAAGAGGAGACTCCGCTGGAAGAAGTTCTCGTGGCCGCAACGCTGAAAACACCGCTCCTGCTCCTACGGAAGAAGGTGGAAAGACAAAAACCAAACAGCGAAAAGGAGCAAAGGCTATATCAACGCCTCAGAAAGTAACAAAAAGTGTCAAGGCAGGTCTTACCTTTCCCGTTGGTCGTATGAGTCGTCTTCTTAAGAAAGGTAGATATGCGGATCGTATTGGTGCTGGAGCTCCCGTATATTTGGCTGCTGTCTTGGAATATTTAACCGCGGAGGTGCTTGAACTTGCCGGAAACGCTGCAAGAGATAACAAGAAACAGAGAATCATCCCCAGACATTTACAATTGGCTATACGAAATGACGAAGAACTTAATATTTTGTTGAGACACGTTCATATCGCTGAAGGTGGAGTCCTTCCAAATATTCACGTCGAATTACTTCCAAAGAAGAAAGGGGAAAAGAAAGCTGTTGTAGTTGGTGGTGCTGTAAACCCATCTCCAAAGAAACCAAAAGCTGGTGGAAAATCTCCCGCAGTAAAGGCTGCATAATTAATAATTTTTTTCTTCTCTAATAATATATATATATTTTGTTTTTTTTTTTTGTTTTGATTTTTTTTTTTTGGTCAATCTTAATGTGATTGTCAATTTTAAATATTTACGATTTCAATGATTTATAATTATAAATACTTATCGTATTTTTTTTTTAATGTATTAATTTCTAAAACGTTATTTACTATTGCAATAAATAAAAGGATATTCGTGATTTTATAAAAAATTTTTTTTTCTTAGTTTTTAAACTTATAACGATTTTGATCCTAACAAGAAAATTCTTTTATATAAATTACAGTTTAGAAAAATGTAATTTATGAAACAAAATATTAATCTTTAAATCTTTTAAAGTAAAAAGAATTTTAATAAGCACTAAAATCACCTGATTCTTTAAAAAAAAAAACAACTATATAAAAGAATAAAGTTTCTAATTCACTAAATTCTGATTTAAAAAGTTACGAAGAACCTATTATCTTCACCAAAATCACTTTTACGTTTTCTCACACTAGTAAGTAACCAAGCGGTACCAACTGGCTCCTGTTGAGGTTTAACGTTAGGGTTGAAAAACGCATTGCGATGAAGTCTGCAAACGTTTTCGCGTACTTTGTAGAGATCGTTCATGTCTGAAAAGTGGAATATACAGAGCGAATTTTCATCTCTACGCATATCTGCTGGGAGATTATTTGTCGCAAATGCATCCATCACCTTTTGATAATGTTGAAACGTATGTTGATTTATCCAATTGTGATTTGGAGAGATGATGAGTACAGGATCATTATCGTCCACTTCATCGAGTTGTTTCTCGTACTTTCCAATATCTTCGTTGGATGCTTTCGGGAAAATAGTCCTAAGAGTGGATAAGAACAATCTAGAAATAATGCGAGATAGGGTTAACAACAATGGCTTGGATAAAATTACGAATCTTACTTACCCCTCCTCGTCGTCGTCCGTGTAGTTTCCTATGTCATTTTCTGGTGAATAATTGATTCCTGTGTCGTTTTCTGGTGGATAATTTGCTATGTGAAATCATTAGATTAATAGTTATATTGACAAGTAAAACCTATGCCAAGTTTGATGTTTTTACCCTTTTATCGCAATGCTCACCTGTCAACAATAACCGAACAATACCGAATACATTAGCGACAATAAAAGCAAATAAGACGAATGGTAGAGCCTAAAGAAGGTGACATTGGTGGAAATAGAAACAATTTAGAGAGACGACAGAGGTTAAAAAAAATTGACAGAGGAAACATGCTATACAGACCAGCCAGCCGAAAAAGGTACATATTGGAAGGATCAAGACGTAAGTGAAACAGACAAACCATTCAATAAACGATAAGTATGGCATGGATGAAATAATGTTTGGATAACCTTTTGTAAAAAACTTTTGTTTTGGAAAAAGAGTTATTTTGAAAGAACAACCTTTCTTATGAGATAAATATTACAAAAAAGCACGAGCCAAAAAAGCGAGTCAATCATATTACTTGTTAAGTGATATAATGAATATTCACTCCTGCTTAATAATGTATGATTGATTGATTTTACTATTCAAATTCTAACAATGTCTATCTCAAGTTGATCCGACCGGCTCTTTGATGTTTGATAAAATTCCTTGTAGTACTTCGATAACAAAAACCATGTTGATAATAGTTATGATTCAAATTGCAATTCTGATAGATATTCTGGCGTTTTTTGGGGGTGAAAGATACTATTTCACGACAAAGGTTCCTCCTTTTAAATTTTGAACAAATTTAACACTTTGAAATACATGTCAAAAATTTATTTAGATATTAAAATTTTAAAATGAATTCTATTGGATTGAAATTTATACTTAAAATTTTGTCACACAATTTTGAATTAGAATTGAAATTAATCACACTGTTCTGACTATCGCCAAGTTGTTACAACGAACTTTATAATTACTCCGAATGTTGTCACTCCAAAATCAAAAGGTTCAAAACGAAAGAAAAAGAATAAATTTAATAAAGAAATTGAGATAGAAACTTATACTTTTGGTCTAACGAATCAAGGAAATAATATTTGTTTCCTTAATTTTGTACTAGAAAGTCTGACATCAATTAAAGTTCTTCGGAAAAATATCTGGAGAAAAAAATAGAAAGTA